GTGGGTGCATTGGCTACACATTCATGTTCGTTTATTTTATTACCGATATGGTTAATGGAAGAAAGGTAGTCGGAAGTTAGTTTGGTTAAAGAAGTATGTTTACTAGTGGCAGGTAGAATCGAATGAGTTGTATGGATAGGAAGTGTATTCGGGGAGTGATCAGGAAGTTCCGTCAAGGAGCTTCTAAGACCAGAGTCAGTTTTCGATGGTGAGAAAGATATGTTACTCCCCATCAGGTCGGAGTATATAGAAGGTGGTCTCAGAATAGCGGGATTGTCGCCCTCAACATTTGGAGGCCCCATAGCAGCACTGTTGAGGGGGAGAGAGGTAAAAAGGTGGTTTATATGACGAATTAGGGGAGATCAGAGAGTTGTATAGGGTGGCTTGACTTTGATAGTACCTAGAATCGATAGGTGGGTGCCCGCGTAGGTCAACATTGTTGTTTCCTTGTGTGCGGTGGGCAATTTTAGTCCTATTATGGGTAGTTGGGGGCTGTATGTTTCTAGTAGATAGTAGGGGGTTGTCTGTTATTGTTGCCAAGAGATGTGTTCGCATTGTGTTTGGTGTACAGGTTCATTGAGCTTGCAAATTTCACACTATGCGGCTTACTGGCATCACATGTAGGTGCGGTTTTTGTCGGGTGTAACATCATGTTGTGATAAATGGGTACTGCCAGTCCACTGTGTTTGATATAGGGCATTCAACGGCTGTGAAAAGGCGCACGTTGTCGGCTAAGTGTGCTGGAGTACTTGTGGGTTTCTACAGAGAATTTAGTATTAATTCGTATACAGGTCCCTGAGCGGTTGTAGCCATTAAAGCAATCCATAGGAGAATCGTTTTTTTTGGATTTTTATCGAAACCGCGAGGGCAGTGCTTGAGCACTATTGAGGCATACATGGATTGGCCTTTTGCGGTAGCTGAGTGTTTGGGCTTAGAATGAATGGTTGCAGCTGCTTGATGTTCAGTCTTTTTCTTAGGACTAATAGCAGTGAGCGACGTTTTTCCGTTTTTGAGAGGGATAGGGCATAGTGTTTCAGGATTTTCGCAACGGCCAACTGCCGCTACTACGTAGGCTGGGTTGAATATTTTGAAATCTTCTGAAGACCCGACGCTGGATAACAGTCCTATCATGGATGATTTTAAGCTTTCAAATGTCGGAATACGCCTCAGTAATGACTGACTATTAAGGGAGTGATTGGCTTCTGTGATACTACCAAACTGAAATAGAATGGGACAAAAGGCTTTAGTCTGTGCTTTACATAATCTTCTTCTTACACACCAAGACTGCAATAATCCACATTCTTGTAATAGAGTATATTTGGCAAACCTTACTTTCGCACTATCTGGTATATTATACACAATTACATTGTACATACACTGTAGTCTTTTCAACACTTCAGATGATAAATGGTCAATTACTTTTTCAGTGTTTTTTATAATTTTGAGATAAATATCTTCTGGAGCACTGACTAAATATTTGTACGTTAATAAGTCTTGAATAGTTTGGGTGAGGCTAATTTCTATTTGACTGCTTTTAGAACTACCACTGATGAGATTATTGGAATTTATATCAACATTATTAGGGACTGTATGGCTGCATATTGACTTGTTGCAAGTGTCTACCGAGTGGTCCTCTTCTGCATATTTAGTTGAGGAATGGGGATATGTCTGGGTGAGTAGTCGAGATTTACATCAGTGAGCTGGCTACTGTAGATTGGCTCATATGCACTTCTTGGGCCGCTACACAGTATGGCCGATTGTGGATTTGTTGTGTGTTTGGGATCAACTGCACTGTCTAAGCACTTCTCACAACATGTAATACATCTGGGTGGGTTGCAAAATGATGTCGACTCACACGGTGTGTGACTATTATATCTATAAGCGAGACGCAAGGTTGTGATGTCATGCCCAAGTACACGGTGCATGTCTAGTGTGATGCAGACTGATCGGTGTGTTTATAAAGCTTCACATTATTCGTTTTGGTGACTGCTTTAGATCTTTTACAGGTTCCATAATCATCAGGTGAGATTATATGTTTTTTAAATGGCCTGGACATTGTTGGAATTAATATAAATATAAAGTTTGTGTTAAATGAACAGCGACTGTTGTAATTTAACTTACTATATGTATAAAGTTCTATGGTAGGATCAGGTCCGATATTTGTTAAGAGCTAAAATATTAACGATAATGAATGGAAAGAGGTGGACAGCGTAAAAAATAGCGAACTTAATGTGCGACTTTAAGTCAAAAAATGAAGTGTCAAATTAATAAAACCCTATCAGAAATGAGGTAATTTTCTCTAAGAAATGTTGTTAAACTAAAGGGAAGAACTAATGGGAAGACAAAATATAACCACGTGAAAAAATTTGCAACTATCAGAAGCAGCGCCAAAGATCATAACTTATACTGTTGGTTAACTTTATAGCAGTGCGACATACAAAAAGATGTTCAACCCGCAATACAAAAGCTATAACTGTCCGATTTTCTTGTAACATGGAACTAATAGTGACAGTATATTCCGACAAGGTGTGTAATATGAAGCTTAGATTGCAAAAATTTTCATATATACCACTGGTTTAAGAGAGCCTAACATCATAAAAAGAGGGAGAGTGGAGCTACTAATCGGCAAACGTGATGGTGGGACGATAAAATTAATCCACCAATGAGAGTAGGGCAGATTGTTTTGTTTAATTTTAGTCACGTGCGACTTCGTGGATCAGTGTTATTGATGTCAATTTCTTATGTCAAACAGCTTTTTGATCCATGTTCGTGACCCTGAATTGGTTTCACTTCGTACCGAGAAAATCTATTACAAACAAGTCTAAACAATCAATCTGAATATGGGTTCAAACATGGCTCTACAAAATTTCTGACAATAAAAACGAGCTATATTAATCTTGACGAAAAAGGCCAGTCGGGATTCCAACATCGTACTTTCCTTGCTAAATTTTACAAATACACTAATTCCATCCAGAGAATCCTTATCCTAATGTGATGGTTTACCATTCGGACTGCTGAATAATTTATCAAATAAACGTTATAGTTCGTATGATATCCTAAATACCCTGAGATCTCTACTCTTACTTTAACACTACCTTTAGAAAATTGGTCAGCTTCCTCACAAACCCTACACTTTAACCATACAGCTCAACTCCATATTGAAGCTCACATCTTAAGCTCACCTTTCAATTCCAGCCTCTCCTTTGATTGTTCCCACTTAGGTAATATCTTGTTTAAATTAGTATTTTGTCCACTGTGATGATCAAAACTCATATTCTGAAAATTCAAATGACGATCACGTTTATACTCGTTTACATCAAATTATTGAGTCATGGTCGATTAATGAAAACGTAACTTGTGGAGGGTAATTTCCTCTAGTAGCTTACGAGGTCATTTAGTGTTGGCTTATTCTGAACGATGATTTTTATTTTTATATGTCACATCTTGCACATCAATCTAGGACTGGTCGCCTGAGAAGACATTCTAAGAAAGTTAAGAACCTAATTCAAACCATATACACGTGGAGTTCCGTTTCTCCTACCATGTAGTATAAATGGAAATATGACTGTGGTTTATAAATGTAGATAATAACATGTTCAAAAAATCTAAGATATGCCCTCCTTTCTTTTTGACCAATGAAGCTGCTTTCGTAGGTACATGTAAATTTATAAATACAGTGGGATGTAACATGAAAGAGGTGCTTGTCAACATTTTATTGAGTTATTGAACATGCTGTTCTATACAATATTAAATGTTTGTCTAGACAACAAGTTCTGGCTAGCTCAGTGTTCAGTCACCTGCTGGTTGTGTTTGCGACAACATCACTTTTGAAGTTAAGAGTTATAGATATTGGTTTTTTATTGACCGTAATTACTTCCGTCTTGTTTTATTTAAGCTCTCTATATTTGTCAACAAATTTCCGTGGGTAGGAATTGTCGCTTCGGCATTTTTCCGCTCCCATCCATTCTTCTCCGATTGCAATTACTAAACATCACCTTGATACAAGAAATCATGGCGGTATCTTAGAATCTTTCTAGGTGATTAATAAGCAGACGAACTCCAGCCTCCTGTAGTTTCCTGAGGCCGTCGCTATCATGCGTCAAAAACCTGACTTATGTGTTCGAAAGGAGACGGTTATTAATCTTTCCCTGCCTCGGTGACAAATATTCCTTCGCTGCATATTAAAGTTTCTTTTCTTTTTCTTTAAACTCTTTCCCACATTTACTACATCATTAAGTTTATTTCAAATATCTTCTAAATTAATGATTTTATTTTATTAACAGAGTTCTACTCATTTTATTCCTATCAATATTTATTCATTATGTAATCACTTGTTTCTGGCCATTTAAACTGTTGTCACGAACAATGTTGTGGAATCTTCTTTCACATAAGGTGCATATTTACAACAGTCAGTCTGATAAATTTATTTACACCCTTGTTGTACTGTACCACTGTGTCTTCAATATAACTTCCAACCAAACCCTTTCATGTCAGTAATTTAAACCAACTATGTAATTCTGATTGTAAAAATAACAAATTGTAAGCAGCTGATGAAAACCAACAAAATATAATGAATTCATGCTATTCTGCTAGAATCTTTCTTCTTGTACTTTTCAAAATATCTAAGGGTTCAGTTATCGTAACAACAGGCAATCGATAACAAGAGGCATCTGTGTATAGCACTGTATTTGCGAGCGGTTATCTGTGTCGTGCTTTGAGGTATTCAAAAAAAAGGTATTCAACGTCATGCAGTTGTAAACAATTTTTACAGTCATTTGTAGCAAGCGTACAAATTATGAGAATTAACAAAAGAAATGAAAATAGTATCAAAAATAACTACGAAATAAGTTTGTCGTGGCTATCTCCAAAAATATCTGCACCTGTTGGTACATTCAAATGGATTTTGGATATTCACAGCACTACATATTTGCAAGCATTAACGTAAGTCAATTGATATTTTATCCTTTTCGCTGAAGACTGAGAATCGAAATCTGTAATTCAGATATGTGATAGCAACAAGCGCGAAAAACAACTTTGATGTTACTATGTCTCGCAAGTTGTCAAAATGTTGCTATTGCTTAGAGAAAATCAATGGCTTCTCTTTTGTGTGCGCTGAGTGTTCAGTGATTAAAATATGTGTGAAAGTATATTTCTGAGCATATTATTTTACTTTTATGATAGTGCTTTTCATGTGGGGTTGAGGGTGGAAAACATAAAAAAATTCACAAATATATTATAAAGGTAAATTTGATTGTATTGAAACTCACAGACTTTAGCGTTCTGAAGATTATTATCTCACTGAAAATCAGTGGTTGCTTTCAGAAGAATTAAAACTATTAGACGCTCTGGATACTTATGGTTATGGAAATTGGTAAGTGTTTGGTTAATCACTTATATTATGTTAGGGATGAAATATCCGCTCAACTTCAGTCACACAGTTCCACAGACTGTCGAGATCATTATGACAAGTTCTATATGTCAGGAATCATGAAACAACTTATGTGTCCACCTTGTCCGTTTCCTCTTGTTAAAGAACACACTTACCCAAACAAACTTTTCGACTCTGAAGTTGAAAACAATCTTTCATGTGATTTGCGATTAGATCATCAGAAGTCACTTGGATACTTGCCATATAGAGATGAATTCGAAATTGTAGGTCCATTTATCTGCTTCATGTATGTTGTAGGAATATTTAAATTCAGCCGAAGAACTTTTAAATTCTGTTTATACAACATCTAATTGCAATGACCTCGACAAAGGTAAGTAATCTAACGTTTACAGATTCCCACTCGTTCTCATGGTAAGTTGATTTAAAGTATTACTTCCCAAGAAAACATGCTTAAACACCTGGTCGATTTCATTGGCCAATATAATTCCTTATCTTATGGCGCAGTAAAGAGATTAATATTTGGTTTTTATACAATTAGGACTTGGTATTAGTTGTGGTCACTGATATAAATATCTCCGGCCGTATGGGGAACCAAAAACATAACTAAAATCGGTATATTGTTGACTATCCCATGTTGTGGTCAAAATTTACCACAATAGTTATAATATCTTTCTTTTGAACTTTAAACAATTGTTCCACGATTTTTTTGTCTTCCGTCTACCTATATACTTATTCAGTCAATTTCATTATTTAGTTATATCTATTTCTCAGTGAGACTAAATTATGAACGATCTTTTGGTGACTCCAAAGTGACCTTAAGGAAATCCACCTACTGATTGGTGTCGTCAGGAGGTTATAACTTAGTGTGATAAATTTGGGTTAGGATTCAAAGTTAGAAGTTGGGGTTGGAAATCATTGTTGGGGTTTTCATCATTGACTGACTTTTAAAGACATACTCATCGTTTGACTGTTAAGGGGTTGATTTACCTAATGATTTAAGGTGTGCAGATGATATAATTCTGTTTGGTGAAGACACCTCTTTATCACTCCCTCTAAATGCGAAACGTGCCCCCAAATGCCCCGGTACGGCCGAGAGTGGGGAGAGTCCGCTCTCCCTCTCGAAATGCTCTCACATGGCCACGCGTATATAGCCTCTGCCAGGGAAGTACTACTCACTGCCTTCTCGTGGCGAGGGTGTTGTTTACGAAAATGAGAGGACGAAAAGCGAATGTCCGGCGCTTTAACCGGATCCCAAATCTATGGTGCACATGGGCTCCAGTATCGTGCGGGAACAAATGCCGTATTAACCAATTTCTTGGTCACCGGATTCCATGGGACTGCATCTCTTTACGATGCTCCACTGCCTTGTGGGTCAGACGTTCAGGTCGAAGGCTCAGGGTGTGGCCCCCTAAGAAAACCACCTGCTTCGGTTTGGGCACCCGGGCAGTATCACAGCCCTCACACAAATCAATTGAGATTCGTGTGGCGCATATGAATTTGGTGCCTCCCTGTACCTATACTTATGTGTTAAAATGGATGAATGAATGAATGCGAAACGTTATTTCAGAATTGGCTTGCATTAGCTCCTGAATTAACGATAGTGAGTGAAGTTGTTGGACACATAGACTGTTTTGGTTATCTCGGGATTCTCATCAGTCATGATGGTCTGGTGTCTGACGAAATCTCTTCATGGACTCTTAAGGCTTGATTAGCCATCACCAATTTACGTCATTTATGGCTTAGGCGAGATGTCCATCTGCCAAGCAAAGGACGACTCGACCGTTCAGCGGTTTACTCTGTCTTACTTTGTTGGTATGAAACATGGTCATTAACAATAGCGGATATTCGTAGGTTACTGGTATTTGGTCACAGGTATCTTCAAAACACTGCTCATGTATTTTGGGACCACGGAGTAAGCAATGCCTGCGTTAGGAATAGGATACTAGGTAAAGATGAAAAATCGATTGATGAGGTAGTAAATCCTCACCAACTGAGGTAGTTGTAGTATTTATTTTATTTTATTTAAACACAATCATTTGTACAACGAGGCACCAAACAGATATGCGCCACATAAGTCATTCGATTTATGTGAGGGCTAGGATACTGCCCGGGTGCCCAAAAGGAAGCAGGTGGTTTTATTAGGCGGCCACACCCCGAGCTTCTGACCTACAGGTCTAATCCACGAGGAGGTGCAGCAACTTAAGGAGATGCAGTTCCATGGTAACCAGCGACCAACGATTGGTTCATACGCCATTTTTTTCCTCACGATCCTGGAGCCCATGTGCACTATTGATTTAGAATAAGAGTTTTTCAGTTCCCCAAGGTGGATCCTCCATATCCACTAACCGGGTTGAGGCACCGGATATTCGCTTTTCGTCCTCTCAGTTTTGTAAATAACACTCCTGTTGCGAGAAGGCAGTGAATAGGACTTCCCTGGCAGTTGTTGTATGAACGTGGCCATGTAAGAGCATTTTAAGAGCTGCCTCTCCCCACTCTCGGCCGTACCAGCGCATTTATTTATTTGAACACATAAATATTGGTACAGGGAGGCACCAAATATATATGCGCCACACAAAACAATGAGAATTTAAAGAGGAGAGAAAAAAAAGTAAGGAACGTAGGGGATTATAAAAAAAAGAACAATAATGGGGGGAGAAGAAAAGGTACACTCAGAAGAAATCTTACAGATAAGGAGGATACAGCCACTTTTTATCAAGAAAGTAAAAAAAGGTTACAGCAGGATCACCATTGGCTTCTATTCTGAGCCATATCTGATAACGTTTCTAGCCACTGTTACACCATCTTTAGGACCCCAGCCAGGGAGTCGTGAAGGACCAACACAAGCTAGCTCTTTGCAGTTTTCTTTCATACCACGACACCATGTCATATACTGACCACCTCTCCGCTTTTTCCAGGGCATTTGGGGGCCATGCGTTACGTACGCCCAACCACCGTTCACCTCAACGTGCTTGTTGTCTAATGTAGAAGTAGACTGGAAGAAATATAGGGGCGGCAAAACCACCGATAATTGGACTGAACCCTATTAGTAGGTGTAGACTACCTGGTTGGGGTCCGCATGATTATCATAATCAATCGTTAGAGACTTCAGATGGTATGGCTCAAAATCGTTCGCAGTGGCGCAGGTGTATCCCTTATTTGTCTTCCTCAAAACTCTGACTAAATTTCCCTTAACTTTTTTTCGTGTTTCTACTTCGCCGGTTTATATTTTTTTGGAATGATATCTTTTATACTCAGTCTTTTCAATCACTACTCGTACTGTTACTACCTCCGCTATCCTGAAATTTACTCTGACAGTTTCATCTCTCTGTGTTAATGGGATAAGGCAAATTGAACCGATGTACATACGTACCGGGTTCTGTGTTGTCACTGACTGACTGACTTTCATCAACCAACATAGACGTTGATGCCAAAATAATTAACCATGTGAATGAATAGACTTTGTGCCAAAATCCAAGACTTTTCACCAGTAATTTCACTATTTCCTCCATAGATTCTAGTCTTGCCTATCTCCACGTGTATTAGGTTTTTTATTTCTTCAAGCTGTCTTGGTGTTAAAAGAATTCAACCACATCACGTCACATATCTATCATTATATAACTCTAATTTAGTTCAGTCTTCAAAATGACATATCGAACTATTTGAATATTTTATGCTTAGCCAAACTATCCACAACATCCTGTTCATCCTTTTATTAATTTATCCCATGCATTATTTGTTATCGTGCTTTAGTGAAGTATTTTGGCTTTTTTCAGTGTGTCAAACATAACCCTATCTTTATATACTATCTTTGGAATCTAAAAATCAACAGACTGATTTTCAGCTTGTTACTGATAGTTACTGGGACATTTTGGTGTTATTTTATAGCCCCTCTGTTCGTTATTGTTTATGACCAAGTATTTATTTTCCTTTGCCTATTCAATCCTCAAACTAGGTTAACTTTTCCTCGGAATATCGTACTAATATTCTTACTCGAGCTTACATTTTGATGGAAATAAAAAATAGGCGATTTCGAGCTTGTGTGTAATATATTATAAATCATACCTCGGGATGTTTCTTGCTCAATTTTGTTTAATTGATGAATCTTTAAGCCTCCAAAATATTCAGAGCTCACAAACGATGAAAATTATGATTGTGCTTGTTTGAAGGTCATAAAAAATAGGATTAACAGTAAATGTTAGTGGCTGTTAATGTAACCCTTGACTAATCGTATAAGCAACTCAACCTTTGTTGAGTAAATATGTGCACAGATAATTGCATTTGGTTGTAACAAGATTATTCTCGTGTTTGGATGGTGGAAGCCTTATCTACCAACAATGTCTGTTTTTCATTGCACTGAGCCATCTCAGTTCTTATTCTTAATCTCTATTCCAAGTTATAACAGTGAAAATCGAAGTTAGCTGCATGAAAGCTCATGTGTGAAAATGATTTTAGCCGTCATAAAATCTCGAATTTGAGATTATTGCTAAAATAGAATTTAAAAAGTGACCACGTTAAATCGACTGGAATCACATCAAAATGTTTTATTTATTTATTTATTTATTTTAACACATAGATATTGGTACAGGGAGGCACCAAATACGTATGCGCCACATAAATCTCATTTGATATGTGTGAGGGCTATGATACTGCCCGGGTGCCCAAACCGAAGCAGGTGGTTTTCTTAGGGGGCCACACCCCGAGCCTTTAACCTGAAGATCTGATCCACAAGGCAGTGGAGATGCAGTCTCATGGAATCCGGTGACCAAGAAATTGGTTAATACGGCATTTGTTCCTTCAGGATACTGGAGCTCATGTACACCATTGAACCGATGTACATACGTACCGGGTTCTGTGTTGTCACTGACTGACTGACTTTCATCAACCAACATAGACGTTGATGCCAAAATAATTAACCATGTGAATGAATAGACTTTGTGCCAAAATCCAAGACTTTTCACCAGTAATTTCACTATTTCCTCCATAGATTCTAGTCTTGCCTATCTCCACGTGTATTAGGTTTTTTATTTCTTCAAGCTGTCTTGGTGTTAAAAGAATTCAACCACATCACGTCACATATCTATCATTATATAACTCTAATTTAGTTCAGTCTTCAAAATGACATATCGAACTATTTGAATATTTTATGCTTAGCCAAACTATCCACAACATCCTGTTCATCCTTTTATTAATTTATCCCATGCATTATTTGTTATCGTGCTTTAGTGAAGTATTTTGGCTTTTTTCAGTGTGTCAAACATAACCCTATCTTTATATACTATCTTTGGAATCTAAAAATCAACAGACTGATTTTCAGCTTGTTACTGATAGTTACTGGGACATTTTGGTGTTATTTTATAGCCCCTCTGTTCGTTATTGTTTATGACCAAGTATTTATTTTCCTTTGCCTATTCAATCCTCAAACTAGGTTAACTTTTCCTCGGAATATCGTACTAATATTCTTACTCGAGCTTACATTTTGATGGAAATAAAAAATAGGCGATTTCGAGCTTGTGTGTAATATATTATAAATCATACCTCGGGATGTTTCTTGCTCAATTTTGTTTAATTGATGAATCTTTAAGCCTCCAAAATATTCAGAGCTCACAAACGATGAAAATTATGATTGTGCTTGTTTGAAGGTCATAAAAAATAGGATTAACAGTAAATGTTAGTGGCTGTTAATGTAACCCTTGACTAATCGTATAAGCAACTCAACCTTTGTTGAGTAAATATGTGCACAGATAATTGCATTTGGTTGTAACAAGATTATTCTCGTGTTTGGATGGTGGAAGCCTTATCTACCAACAATGTCTGTTTTTCATTGCACTGAGCCATCTCAGTTCTTATTCTTAATCTCTATTCCAAGTTATAACAGTGAAAATCGAAGTTAGCTGCATGAAAGCTCATGTGTGAAAATGATTTTAGCCGTCATAAAATCTCGAATTTGAGATTATTGCTAAAATAGAATTTAAAAAGTGACCACGTTAAATCGACTGGAATCACATCAAAATGTTTTATTTATTTATTTATTTATTTTAACACATAGATATTGGTACAGGGAGGCACCAAATACGTATGCGCCACATAAATCTCATTTGATATGTGTGAGGGCTATGATACTGCCCGGGTGCCCAAACCGAAGCAGGTGGTTTTCTTAGGGGGCCACACCCCGAGCCTTTAACCTGAAGATCTGATCCACAAGGCAGTGGAGATGCAGTCTCATGGAATCCGGTGACCAAGAAATTGGTTAATACGGCATTTGTTCCTTCAGGATACTGGAGCTCATGTACACCATTGATTTGGGATCCGGTTAAAGCGCCGGACATTCGCTTTTCGTCCTCTCATTTTCGTAAACAACACCCTCGCCACGAGAAGGCAGTGAGTAGTACTTCCCTGGCAGAGGCTATATACGCGTGGCCATGTGAGAGCATTTCGAGAGGGAGAGCGGACTCTCCCCACTCTCGGCCGTACCAGGGCATTTGGAGGCACATCAAAATTTTGTTGAATAGATAGTCAAAATCCATAAAGGTCAGGAAATTTAGAAATTTATGGAGTAATATTTTACTGTTCAAAGGTTGGTTTATTTTACTTCTAAATATTTAAAATAAAATACTACATTTAGGTTACTTACATGTTAGCTAACTCATTTTCGCTACTTTCTTTTTTGTGACACACTAGCTTTCTATTTAGCATTGATGGGTATTTACAATCAATATATACAGGAGCGTCATTTCCGTCATCGTTTGGCACGTTCACACAATTTAATTACTCACCTTATGCGTGACCTGATCCGTATTCAATCAAAGCAGAAGTTATCCAACTATACATCCAAATCTGGGGTAATCAAAAGAGGATGCCACACCAAACGGTCGAGTCATCTAAGTGTTTCTCGAATCAAAAAGGTTAATCGGAAATTATGTTACAGTGTTAGTTTCAGGGAACAAGAAACTGCATATTCCCCTAAACTAAAAAGTTGTGTTGATCGGATTAGTGATTTTAACTTTAATTCTAATGCTATGATAAGTGAACGTGTGGACGCCAAAGTTTTCCGTCAGTCCCTAGTTTTGACACAAAAACATTTGAATTGTTCATATGAGTCAATACCGACTCCTCATCTACAACAATACAGCATATCCCACCAGGTTCTAGAAAATAATAATAAGGATTCCTCTACAGCCAATTTAAATATCCCTGGAATGAGTAAAAGTTTTGCTATACCAAATGTCACTAAAACATTTCTTGTTCGCGATGATTCATGGCTAACTGAGTCTTGTACCTCATCAGAAATCCTTGACTCCGGTATTAGTTCTGCAGAGTCCTCTTCCAATTCTACTACTTCGTGTAGCAATTTTAGTGACCAGTTAAATTCAAACCCCCTCGAATCCACCATTGATTTGCAGCTATCCAGTCAGACAGTTCCTGCTCGCCCTCGATCTAATTCTGATTCCGCTTATGATGTCGGTATAGTGAGATTAAAAACTCAATTTTCTAGCTGGAATGATCAAACCTTACCATTAAATAGATTGACCAACAGTGCATTTTCAGAGATGGACCCTGTGCAAAACGTAATTGGATGTCTTTTTCAATCTACCGAAGAAGTAAAGACTCCCTTGTTTGCACACCAGAGTCGGCGTCGGGGACGTCCACCCGGACAATTTAAAACGATATCAGGTTTATCTCACAATCAGAATACTGGGCAACAAAATATACAAACATTCTTGAAGTAAGTTATTATTTAATAAATATAATAACAACTTTATCTATAACTTTATATACCACTTTTACTGTTTTTACTTATGAATATAAAGTTGTTGGTGTACGTAGATATTTTTGGAATTAATTTTAATACTTACCGTTAAAATCTAACTTCCTTGCACAAGTAAAGATAAGTGTATTTAGATTTTAATTGTACAATGTTTTATGAGAAATAGAGATGCTAACAGATCACCCCAACTGAATTTGGTTACTGAACTGGTAAAAATCTAGTGCTAGAAATTTTATCAACCTTGGAGATGTGAGTATGTTTTTGCATATGCTACCAGTTGTTCTGGTATTTTGGTAGCCACCTGGTGAAATGATCTTATAAAAATAATCCTACTTATATATTGGAAGGTGCCCAATTCTGTCCAAAGTTGGCCTTGATTTAGGTTAAGTAACTGACCAGTTTGTTTACTTTACGATAAACAAATAACGTTTCACATATCCGGAAAAAATCCACTGTTGTATTAATATTCTGAAAGTCTACTGTATTTGTTGTTAAAACTATCAGGCTTAATCCACTGCCACTCCGTAATCAATATTGTGGATACTTTGTAAATGTTCATGTAGCGCACTCTATTGGCCCGGTCAGCTTTTGGAAATTAGACACTTCTTATTCAGGTTGTGAAGAGAATAGTCACATCGTTATCCATAATATACCTATGCTTATTGCATACCAGTAATATCTGTTTGTAAACAGCTGTATTGTTATTGACTCGTAGATGGGAAAATTTACCTGTAATTGTGTTCATTATTGCCTTTCTAATTACGCAAGCTGAATTAGATTGTATAAAAATCAACCACACTAAACTGTACTGTAAATACACTACAGTGAATGTCCTGTTGGTAATGCACTTAGCCTCGCCTACAGTTGTCTAATATTTTCCTAAAGTTGTCTTCGATATCCAATACGTACCTATTAGCGTTTGTCAGATAACCTTAAAATATTTCTCCGGGCGTACATTTGGATGAATATAGGTATACTAGACAGAAAAAACTAAGATGCGATTAATTTATAGAATTGCCCGATCGGTCATAAAACTTCATCCTTTGATATAACCTAAGTCCTTTTTTATAGGTGCAACATATCAAACTCAGAAAATGTCAATATTGAATCTTGTGGAGAAATTCATTATCATACACCTGGGAATGAGATACTTCAGATTGATATTTCATCAAATTCGGATATATATAATTCTCTTAAAAGTCTTACATGGCTCGCTGAGAATGTAGAGACCCCATTAACGGTCCCTGTACATCGCCGTCGTGGACGTCCACCTTGTAATCCTAGAATACCATCTATTTCTCAAAATGTCTATAGTGCTAAAAGTTGTGAAAAAACGTTTCTTACGTAAGTCATTTTTATCTTGGTTCAGAAATTAGTTTTTATTTGCTAGTACTAAGTAATCCTTTTGTATTTCCCTAAAGTTTCTATTTTTCTAAACTCCATATGACAATAGTCTATTGACCGTACACATTAGTTGACGTGTCTCCGGACAAATAACCAAATATTCATGCATTCTATGAGATACTTTTCCGAAAACCGGAAGTTAGGAAAACTTTCAACCGTACGGACGAATCACTGACTCTGGTAGAACTTCGAGGAACAGTTTAACTGAGTTTTAAGGGTTTTCTAACTAACCGAAATTCAACCTTATTTGAATTGGGATGCTAAAAATAAATCAACATAACTTTGAGTTAATTAAACTAACTAACCTTCTCAACATTAAAGAGAAACTCATTCTCATTGGAATAACAATCAATGTCATTAAAACACAATTACTATCTGCCGATGAAAATGTTAATGACAGATTATAAATAAAAGTAGGAAAATAAGGAAAGTTCAAAGTGTTACTAGGTCGAATAAAGTAAGATACCGAATTCATTCCTAAACCTTGTATTACTTCTGGGTAGTCAATAAAGTTAAAATCGTGTGCTCCTCAAAGTCAAAAGACATCATGTGACGTGATCACTTTAATAACTTGAATATTTCAATAAAATACTTCTTCCCTACGGAGTCATATCAATTTTTCTCACAAGAAAATCACTATATGTATTCTCAACGTAACATGCTCCTTACAGAATTATTTTGTCATTTGTATTCGTAAACAATTAACTATTTTCTTCCTTTTCAACTTAAAGGCATCCTCAGTGGCTGAAACCATTCTTTCGTTATCTTTCTACGTCGGAAGCAGAGACATTCCTTAAAAATTTGGAACGTAAGTATGAAATATTTTAATGGAAAATATATTTATCTATTCAAGCACATAAATCTTAGAACATAACACAAACGAAAACTGAATATTGTAAACGAACAAAGGAGAGAATGATAGTACAGTCAACAAATAAATAAATAGAAATATCATGTAGTAAAATAGAGTTCGGTTAAAAACACATCGAAGAAAGGTCTCTTACAGTTAAGGAAGCTTATCTCACCTTATGAAGTGTACGATAAAAACCTAAATTAGAGTTGCCACAGGCTTCTTATCTGAACTATATTTGGTAGCATCAGAATCCATTGAGTTGCACAACCATGAATTGACAAATGCCAGTCCTATATGGTTACCTTTCATAGCATGACACATAGTCCTGTTACCCTTCATGGGGGAACATGGGCCACCCACCAATATTCTCCAACAAACTTTATCCTGGGCAATCCTCTCCAGTTGTTTCAAGTTGCTATTCATTTTTTTCATGTCTGCTTACATTTCTCGCTGCAGTGTGTTCTTTTGCCTTCTTCTTTCCCATTCAGGATTCCAAGTTTTATTTTATTTATTTATTTATTTGAACACATAAATATTGGTACAAGGGGGCACCAAATATATATGCGCCACACAAAACAATGAGAATTTAAAGAGGAGAGAAAAAAAGGTAAGGAGCGTATGGAATTACAAAAAAATAGTAAGAGAACAATAACGACCAGATTAGTGTAATAGTAGTAATAATGGGGGAAACGAAAAGGTACAATCAGAAGAAATCTTACAGTTAGAGAAGCAGCCACTTTTTATCAAGAAAGTAAAAAAAGGTTACAGCAGGATCGCCACTGGCTTCTGTTGTGAGCCATATCTGATAACGTTTCTAGCCACTGTTACACCATCTTTAGGACCCCAGCCAGGGAGTCGTGAAGGACCAACACAAGCTAGCTCTTTGCAGTTTTCTTTCATACCACGACACCATGTCATATACTGACCACCTCTCCGCTTTTTCCAACCAGTCCCAGAGTCGGCAAATAGTGCACGACGTGGAATTCTCTGGGACAATATTCGTAAAGCATGTCCATGCCACCGAAATCGGTGTTTCAAGATGATGACACCAATTGCATTATCGTCTCTGTGCCCGAACACACGATGCCGAACCTCTGCATAACTAACATGGTGTTGCTACTGGATGTCAGCAATCCTTCGGAGACAGCGATGATCGAACACAGAGAGACGTCTAACATCCTCAACTCGGAGAGGCCAGGTTTCACAAGCATAGAGCAGAACTGCTCTCACCGTTGCGTTGTAGATCCGACCTTTTACAGCCAGACTAGCATCACGAAGGTGCCAAAGGTGGCCCAGATTGGCATAAGCCGCTCTGGCTTTCACTATACGTGCATTGATCTCATCACTCACTCACACCACCACCAGCACTTATGCAGCTACCTAGATACACGAACTTCTCGACTACTTCTATCTGCTCACCATCCAGAGTGAGTAGAGGATTAGAATCCTGCCAGTCTTGTAGAAGTACTTTGCACTTCGAAGGTGTGAAACACACACCGTACCTACAAACACTGATTGCCAACTGATTAAGTGCGGATTGCATGGCTTGGGCATTCTCGCACAGTAAGACAATATCATCCGCACACTCAAGGTCGAGAAGTCTTTCTCCAGGCAACAGATCCACACCACCATTACTTACATCCGTCAGAGCTGTTTCCAGAATGTCATCAATGGCAAAGTTGAAGAGGAATGGTGAGATTGGGCAACCCTGCCTAACCCCACTGCTTGAATGGAATAATGGAGAAAGGTGGTTGTATGCCCTCACTCTGTTTGAGGTGTTTGTGTATAGGGATTTTAGGATGTTAATAAACTTCTCAGACACACCCTTCTTGAATAGGCAATCCCAGAGAACAGTCCCATCCAACGAATCGAAGGCAGCCTTGATGTCAAAAAACACTACGATTGTTGGCCTTTGATAAGTATGGCGGTGTTCTAACATTTGGCGGAGGGTGAAGATATGATCAATACATCCTCGACCAGAACGAAACCCAGCCTGCTCCTCGCGAGTCAATCCTTCTCGGGTTTTGAACAACCTACGAAGTATGACGGAAGCCAGTAGCTTGGACGCGACCGGAAGTAGACTTATCCACCGATAGTTGTTACAGGAACGACGCGAACCCTTTTTAAAGATAGGGACAACTATCGACTCATTCCATGACATTGGTACACTCTCTAGTTCCCAGACCTTTGTAAACAACGTCGTCAGTCCCTTAGTCAGAAAGTCACAACCATCTTTAAAAAGAGCCGGAGGTAAGTCGTCTGGGCCTGGTGATTTGTAACGTTTCAAGAGTTGGAGTTCCTTGCGGACTTCCGCCTCATTTGGTGGATCAGTCTTCACCGGCCATGGAGGGCAGGACAGTCTGACCGACGTTGCCGGAGCAGCAGGCCAGTTGAACTGTCCTTCGAAAAATTCTGCCCATCGTCCAAGACGTCGATGGATGTTAGTGATTGGCGTTCCGTCATCCTCGCAGATCGTTTCGCTCACACCAGACTTCTTGCTGCCAGTGGCTTGGATGAGTTGGAAGAGCTTCCGGTAATTACCAGATGCAGCTGCTGCTTCCAACTCACTGGCACGCTCCGACCACCAGGCTTCTCGGTCCTTACGCAAGCTTTGCCTGATTTCATTACGTAACTGTCGTCGTTTGTGGTCAAACTCACGGTCACCCGGAGTAGACCGACGGGCTTCAATGAGTTGTAAAGAACCAGAAGGAACCCAGTGCTTATAAGCGGGACGTTTCGCAAACCCACAACAGACTGTACCCGCCATTTTCATGGCGTCATGCAATTGCAACCAATGCTCATCTATACTTTTCGGTGGAATGGTAGCTAGCCTAGAAGCTAGCTCTGTTCGGTTATTGCTAGCCAGAAACAGGTTGTGGTCTGTGCACATTTGTAGTAGACGGTCCCCGTTATCTGTCCTGTGATCAACAAGTCCCCATCGGTCACATAAACGACTCTCTTCTGTGCCTAGACGCCCGACCTGAGCATTCAAGTCTCCGGCTAGTACTACAATATTTGTCGAACTCACTTTCTGGAGAAGAACAGTTAACTGGTGGTAGAATTCATCCTTGATTGCATCCGGGCTGCAATCTGTCGGAACATAGGCGGAGATGACGAAAAGACATCGTTTCTCACGCCGATTTCTTCTCACTTTGATGGAACTTTCTAATCTAACAGCACATAACCGACTGTTAATGGGGATCCAATCGATTAGTGTTGTCTCAGCTCTAGCGCTTAGTGCGACACCAACACCAGTAAGACCAGATGAAGATGCCACAGGGTCTCCGGATAAACGCACATAAAACAAGCTTTTTGAAGTGACAGATGGAGAGCGAATTTGTAGTACTTCACAAGAGTCGTGAATACGGGTCTCGGATAGACAACAAACGTCGATATTAAGACTTTCCAAAGACATAGACAGCCCTATCTGTTGTCCGACCTGCATAAATGTGCAAACGTTGAAGGCAGCCAGTATGAATGGTGCGCGTGGTTTTATAAAGACTGCTTCAGTACTCGTATTCGATGGTAACATACAATTTTCAACCAGGCAGTGACTCGAGAACGTTTAGATAGAGCCGAATGTCCACCATAGTCGAGCTGCTGTATAAGTCGAAAAATAAGGATAGACAGAGTGGGAATGAAAGAGAGTGAATAGATGACGTGGTAAATAATAATAATAATAATGTTAATTGTTTGACGATAAATCGCAGCGTGAACAGAGTTTTCAGAGAAGATCATCATTTTCATTATATTTGTGTGTGGGCTGTGATACTGCCCGGGTGCCCAGACCGAAGCAGGTGGTTTTCTTAGGGGGCCACACCCCGAGCATTCGACCTAAAGATCTAACCCACAAGGCAGTGGAACATCGTGAGATGTAGTCCCATGGAAGCCGGTGACCAAGAAATCGGTTCATACGCCATTTGTTCCTTCAGGATACTGGAGCCCATATGCACCATTGAGCTTATTATCATTGCACTGGACTATTCATGTTTATTCGCTCAAACAGTAATATCTAATATCGGAATCAATAATTATTTCCTGTTGAAATTAACTGGATTTCTGGCCAAGGATAGCACTGAAACTAGGTACTTCTGCTGTCTGTAGGTATTGTTGTAAAAGTCAAATTTACTACCCATTCTATTGTATTGTAATCAGGTATTGCTTTTTAATTATCAAGAAATTCATTCCAAGCAGGTGAAATTCTTGTCGTTTAACATTCCCAGAAACGTGAACATTGTATAAGCAGTCTAGCTCATTTATCTAGATTCATGAGCTTGTAACTAAATTAGATTGATAAATCAACCGAGTCAAGTGTTCACATGGTGTGTTGTCTTTTGGAACATCGTTGCAAATTAGTTATTAAAGCTACACACAACTATCGCTTGTCTGTTGGTCATATGTAACGCTCAACAGTTGCATCAATTTATACATAAATCCATCCGGTTCATTTTCATCTGAAAACCATGTAGTGAAAAAAAGTTGATTTTTCTCATATGACTCATACTCCTATTCGTTGCGCGAAAAGAATCAAAACCAAGCTAGAGAATCCTATGATATGAAGTATTTAGTAACATTAGGTAATCTATCTAATCTTGAAAGTAACGTCACAAATTCTCGTTTGTATTGTTGAGTTAGCGGAACATAAGATGTGAGAATTTCTCGACCCGTAAACGACGCTAATTTTAGGATATTCCTGTTGATTAACTATGAAACTCCAAGCATAAGAGAATTACTCTATACTGCGCTATATGACGATTCAATAAATGAATGCAATTAAGTGAATAAGTACATTTTAGTATATCGAACCTGTGTGCACCCATGTTTTGAGGGCTAGTTTTTGTGCCTGTTTGCTCCTATCTGTGTAGTGAAAATGACTTTCAAACTAAGCAACTACTATGAAATTATTAGCAAGTGTCTGTCAACTTCTGGTTCTATTACAATTAATCTTTGACCGACATAGCGATGTCAGGCAAACACTGACAAAATCCAGTTTCCTGTGACAATTTTAAGAGTATTGTGATACTTCGTATTTGCTAAGTAAGACTATTGGCTATATACCACGCGTGCCTACCCGACAGATGTGAACTCGATTAAACATCCTATCTGCATCGACCCCGATGGATTGTTTGTTGCGGTAACTTCCATTGAAAACTTTCCTCCCGACTATTAATTTCTATTGTTGCGGAGAACAGATACTCTATCGGTCAATACAATCTGGAACGAAAGCTTATTAAACCATTGCTACGTAAGACGATCCACCGGTGGTTCGAGTATTCAACTCTTCATTATTAGGTCATGAATTCACAGTGATTCTATTTCGGATGGTATGTAGATTACCGTTCATCCATACAATCGCTGAAACCCATTTACTAATACATAAACTCACACGCTGTTAAATCTATTGCTTTTCAGACTGATATTCATCTGTTTTTAACTGCAGGTTAGCTATTCGCCAGATGATGTCCTTGTTCTGCCAATTCTTGCCTTTACATCTGCATCAGATCATCCCTGTTTGTCGATGCTGCTGCCCAAGTACGTGGAAGTTTCCACATCCTCCAGAGCTTCTCCGTCCAGTGTGACTGGGTTGTTGTTCTCTGTGTTGTATTTTAAGGGTCTTGCTTTTTCCCCTGTATATGTTGAGGCCTATTGATGCAGAGGCTGCTGCTCCACTGGTTGTTTGGACCTTCATTTGTCGGTGTGTGTGAGATAGAAGGGTAAGTTCATCTGCGATGTCCGAATCGTCTAGCTGCATCCAAGCTATCCATTATATTTCGTGCTTCCTCTGAGATATGAAGTTCTTCATAATCCAGTCAACCATCAGAAGAAAGAGAGAAAGGGTGAGAGCAAGAAATCTTGTCTGACTACGGTTCCCACTAGGAATGCACTTGTCATCTGTTCCCCATACACCACCTTGCGGTGTAGTCCATTGTACGAATCTTGTATGATGTCGACGATTCTCCCAGGCACACCATAGTGTCGAAGACGATTCAACAAGGTTCTCCTATCCACACTGTCTAACACTTTCTTATCGTCAAGGAAGTTGATGTGTGGTGACGAATTTAATTGAAGTGAATGCTCAACAATAATATGTAGTGTCGCGGTTTGGTCTATGCACAGGCGATCCTTACGAAATCCGGTCTGTTGATCTCGAAGTTGGGTATCTACTGAATCTTCCATCCTGTTCAATACCAATCTATTGAGAACTCCTTATGATGACTTTTCTTGCGGTCCAGAACCTCTTGGCACGTTGAAGTTTGTGTTTTTCTGATCCGTTCCTAGTTGTTTTCCATATTAGTTTCCTGTTCTTTAGATAGATCTTGTAGTGCTTGTAACCTGTTGTTGAGAGCTATCTTGAATTGGTTGAGTTCATCAGTATGTCGAAGTAAGGCTGTTTTGAACCTTTGTAATGCTGCTTGTCCAGTTATCCAATGCTTCTTTAGCTTCAGTTTCATCTTGGTCACAGATAGGTGATGGTCTGAAGTTGTGTTATCTCCTCTCCTGGTTCTCACGTCTTTCATTGATCTTCTGTTTCGGTCTGGGCACCCGGGCAGTATCACAGCCCACACACAAATAAAATTTTGTGTGGCGCATATATATTTGGTGCCCTCTTGTACCAATATTTATGTGTTCAAATAAACAAATAAAATAAATTGAGTTTTTTAGTGACCAGAATAAAACAGCATCTTTTCTATCCCATTTGGATTCAATGGGTCCCACGTATTCGGACAACCGCCAAGTTGTATCTCCTCATTTCTGTTGCTGTTTGACTGATCCTCCCGATCTCTCACACTGTCCGAACATCCCATGTATCTATAGTAATGTTTGTTGTGGTTGTTATAAGGAACATCGGCCTCGTAATTTCCTAAGAATCTCTGCTTTCACTATGAGGCGTCATAGTTCTTCCTTCAACTCAGAGGGCAAAGTTTAAATGATTTAAATTATTTGTTCTGGTTAGCGTTAGTTGTTTTCCACAAGATAAGGTTGATGACCCCCTTCCTTTAGCCGGACATAGGACCGGCAGTAGATCTAGAAGAGCTAAGGCGGAGTTTCATAGCACGATAGCGTGCCATAAACTAACTACTTCTACCAGATTCCAGAGTCGGGAAATAATGCACAAATGCAGGTCTCTGGGGTGATATTCATAATACGTAACCAAACGACAGAAGTTTGTGTTTCAATGTAGTTATGTCGATCGGATGATCGCTACTGCGCCCAAATACACATTGCTAGACTACTGCATTACTAACATGGTGTTGGTCCTGGATGTGAGGAAACCATCGGAGGTCGACAATCGGATACGGAGAGTTGCCAAACCTCCTCGTCTCGAAGGCACCCATAGTGTAACCGCTCGCACATACACGTTTTAAACTCGACTATGGTTGAATATGATGGATATCGAACTATATTATTCTTCTAAGTTTATATTGTAACTGTGTACGACTGTTACGGACTTGTTGTTCTTTAGAATGAGAAATTAAGTCTGATAAACTAAACTCGTTAATACAACATCTCTGTGTATTGTCCTCCATATTAAATACTATTGGATAGCTAATAGGTCAAAGCAATTTGTAAGAGTTCATACTCGAGTTTCCTAAGAAATGTGTTTTCAATAATGGCTTGCTATGATGTTCTTACATTAACCCAGCTAACATATGGTCTATAACTAAAATTAACTTTTATTACCATCTCAATATTTAATCCCCTTAAAATAAGCTTTTTATTTCCTAATTCGATTCTATTCACTTAGAAATTACAACCGTAAAACAATGATTGACTTAACTCGTAGCTAAATTTTAATCCTGTTTATTTGTAGCCTAGCGCTTGATATTTGTTCAACAGGTAGTGTTAGTTTATAAATCCCTACATAAATTACATGTTTTTAGCAAAATATTTATCCGATATTTCACAACAGAATCAACATTCATTGCATCGGTGTAAATATAGGTATAATGTAGATAAATGATGACGATGTGAGCTGATTTCTTTTGCGGTTACGAAGAACGTTGATGATTAGACGAAAGTTCTGTTAACGCCTACTATAAGTTTTTTTTAAAGATTAGTGCGTAGGTTAATTCAGAAATTTGGACAGGTTTCAGTGTACTGACTTGAATCTGATAAACCACAAGCATTTCAAATATTTAAATGACTAGAATTCGAATAAATTACTTCACATAGGACAATGTTAATTCTTTTGTTAACAAGTTTTTTTTGTTTTTTTCATACAGAATAATTCGTTTTCATTTATATCTGTTAATGCATTTTTATTGAAGGTGAACGCATACTACGTATTGAACTTAGTCAGCTGATACAAGATTACTGTAGGTTCTCCATGAAAACAGGTGACTTTTATTAAATAGCATAAATTATTATATAACTTTCGAATAATTTTTTAAAAAGTGCTCTTCTCTCCTAGTCATTTTTTTATTAGTTAGATATTTCAGTTGTTACTTTTTCGTTTGATCTTGAGAAATTTTCACACTAGTCTAAAATAGATATACTCAAAACGTTTTGCACGTTCGCGATACATAATTGAGTTATCTAGAGCTTGATTTTTTCTCGGTGTGATGTTATACTCGTTTAATAACTTTAATCAGTCAACATTTGTTTAAAGGTCATTTTTATCATTCCTCAAATTAGTTGTGGTAGGACAAGTAGCAAAGTAACCGACTCCCTTCTTATGAACACTTCTGAATATTAGAATAGCATATATGGAAATTTATTTATCATATCATTCGATATCAGTCAATTATCCTTTGTCATATTCACATACAATGGTTCAGTTATTTATATTAAACCGAGCTGGTTTATTTAGAAAACACTGACCGTTGGGTCACATCTTAAATATAATTATTTAAAAATCGGAATTATGTTCAATTATCATATGTTTCATTTGGTTGGGGGGAACAGGGACGGAAAATTATCTCTGTTCCGTCACGTAGTCAATATATGGGTGTTGGTGTACTTCTGTTTATTGAAAAAATTTTGATAATTAACTGAACCTAGAAGATTAAACAAAACTAGCTTGATAACTGAACACATTACATATACATAAGGTCAAAGCATTCCACGCACACAAACAACAAAGTGCTTAGATAAGAAAGTCCTCGAATGCCCTGGTATGTCCGCAGGTCGGGGGAGTCCTCTTTCCCCCACGAAATGCTCCCATATGGCCGTGCGTATACCACTACTGCCAGGGAAGTCCTACTCACTGCCTTCTGGTGGTGGGGGCGTTGTTTAAGAAATTGAGAGGACGAAAAGCGAATGTCCGGTGCTTTAACCGGGGTCGCGGACACGGAGGGCTTCATGATCCTAAGGAAACAAATGGCGTATGAACTTATTGTTGGTCACCGGCAACCATGGAACTGCATGTCCTGACGTTGCTCCATTGCCGTATGGATTAGCCCTGTAGGTCAAAGACTCGGGATGTAGCCCCCTAGGAAAATCACTTGCTTCGGTCTGAGCACCCGGGCAGTATTCCAGCCCTCACACAAATCCATTGATTTATGTGGCGCACATATATTTGGTGCCTCGTTGGACCAATGTTTATGTGTTTAAATTAGTGGATTTAAAGTAGATAAGGAAGAAGTATAACCAAAGTCAAGTAATAATCGTATCTCTCATTTGTGCTCACTATGTTTCTCAACATATCATAGGAATGAATACTTATAATTGGTTGCAAGTCTAAATTAATTTATGTTAACTGCTAGATACCCACTTAGTGGTCTAGAGGTTAAGTAAATTCTTGTTGCGAGACCTAAATATCCTGCGTTCGATCCCTAGCGGGGTCGTTGGTGAACACTGCCGAAAAGTTCCATACAAGAGCAAAAGTTGTCCAGTGCTCCCTAGTTTTCAATCGTTGCAGTATTGTCAATCTATAATGCAAATTTACAGATTTTGCGATTTCTAGTCTCTCGCGCTAAATTCAGTCACCTCAAAATGTCTTATAAATATTTCGAAGTTCAAACAATCATTACTGTTTTAATTGGATTTGTTACTTGTAATAATGATAAGTAGCTGGTATACATACATCCGTAATCTGGTTGTTGTATTCGAGTCTACAAGACAATAATCCACCACAAATCTTATATCTTCGGCTCAAAGCAACAGGTTTTGTGTGCGGGCCAGTGATACTACACGGCATCTCTAATTGTAATAAAGGAAAATTAGAGTTCAAACCTACTACTATATGGCTCAAAGTAGAATGATTTACCACTTCATTTAGCTAGTAATGGTTGGTCATTTCATCATACATTGCATCAAAATTTCATAATTCTTATTGTTTCATAACTATTCTGCTCTCTCCTGCTTTTCCTCTACGTTTATTTTCCAACATGTATGTGGCTAAGCTGTGACCTGGTTAATTTAACTATCACTATTTAGTTAACCTAAATTTTCTTTCGAGTAACATTTCTAGCATATTCGTTGTCTGTTCTAATAATCACTTTTACGATGACATAAAAAGATGACATTATTTAGGTCAATATTTTTTGCTGGTTTCCATCATGAATTTCGACCAAGGTAGTAGCTGTGACATTCATCCAGTATGACGTCTTAAGGTCAATATTTTCTTGTGTCGATTTAGTATAAAATTCGCTCAATATGAAAAGTGTGAACTTTCGTTCAGTGTGACAATTATATTCCCTCCATCATTTCAGATGCAAATATTTATTGTGTTTGCTTTTACAGTAACTATGTATTTCACCTATGTGATATTGTGTGTCACGATAGTTACAGTGGTTCTCTTTTTGAAGTATGAGTGTTAGGATCAAGGAATTGCAATGGTTCTTAATTGTAAGTTATGCGCGGTATGACTTTGAACTCAACAGGGTCTATGCGTACGTAACTGCGGCGATACACGCCCAGACAACAGAGACTGCCAGAGATATTACAACGAAAACTGGAATATAATAATCACTCATTATATTCACCGATAATCTCTGTGAATCGTTTGTCCTTACAAACTAACAAATTTGTTAACTACCATCCCCTTACTTTGTTTCTGTTTTAGCTTCCAACATTCTGTGCTGCTAACTCTCAGCTTAGAATCTTATTGTAAGTTTACTTCGGCTCCATTTCTAATCTTGTCTAAAGACAAAAAAATACTAAACACGGTTTTATTCCCTATCTCGGTAAAAGTCTTAATAATTTTTATGCATCTTAACAATCAGTAGGAGTGATCATTAAAGGCTCCTATTCCCGGTTTAGCAAATGAATCTTGAAACTGTAGTCTATAAATCCAAAACTGTTAGTCATAAATAGTGAAGGATGTGGAATTTTCTCACAGAAAAGTTGAGGGGAAGATAAGTGTGGAAAAAAAACTGGAAAACGTAATAAAAATGAGGAGAAATAGGGATTATTTGATCATTAAGCAAGCAATTGTTTCTCCTCACATGCTTACGTGTCCCAATCTATTTTACTTCAAGTAGTACTTTTTCGAAAATATTTTGGCTAATTATTTTAGTAAATGTAGTTCACTATCATCACCAAACTAACTCCAAACTCAATATTAAGGAAAAATTGCCTATTGTGAAACTATTTCTTATTAGTAGTTTGTACATCTTAGCCTGGTCTAATTTTTTTGGTTTGATATGTTTTAGCAGTGACCGATTGTGTAGTTCGTGAGGATTCATCTAGTCGTTTCGATCTCTACAAGAATCCATCTTCATCATGTTCTTCCACCTCCACTTCTCCTCCACCCCCGCCGCCGTCTACTTCTCCAATCTCCAAAAAATCAACAACTTCATCTGTTCATCACCGGCTGTCCAACTTTATAAAGTTACGGAAACTTAAACGATCATTTAGTACAAATACACGAAAACTGGTTCATAATTTTGCTTCAAATAAAATGAATCAATATCGCAGTTTTGCACATTATAATAATCATAATCTTCGACGAATTAATCTCGCTAATAGAATTAATCAAAAAATTAATTGTAAACGAACACGAACTGTTTTTAATTAATGTTCAATAATCTTAATATTTTAATTCTCAGGTTGATTAATTCGTTGTTTATACAATGCTCTTCTCACTGTGTGACCTAAACATATGCACACACAATTTCAGTTCTAATTGTTAATTGTAGCTAGGACCTTCTTTATTGTTAGCAATAAAATAATACTGAACTGTACATATCATTCTAGGTACATTCCTAATACTAGAACTAATTAATTCACAATTAATGAGACATATAAGCTGATAATTTGTGTCTTACTCTGCTTCACACAATTCGACTTTCAAAAGTGACACTGAAAATAATACACAGTTTATTCAAATGACTTTAAACCAAATTTTGTTTACTGATAAACCTACTCACAGTGAAACTGACAATACTTATTATTGTTAACCTGTTCTCATCTCAATTTACTATTAATATTTAGTTGTCATCAAATTTATTTTGTTTGGCTGTGTCCTTCCTTGTTAACCTTTTAATAATCGAACTCCTAGTGTATTGGTATGCTGTGGTAGGTGACTATTTCTATCATTTTTAGATGTTTTTTGTGTTTTCCTGTTACTTCTTGCTTAGATTGTTCCTTACTTCTACACGTTAATTCCTCCGAGTAAATCAAAGATCAATTGCTCAAATTAACATTGTTTATATTATTGTTTTAATAGGTGTTCTATTTGAAGGCAAAGCAAAGATCCCTTCAATTCCCAAATCAATTCATTAGGTGTTAAATATATGCTACATTTATCCTGTATTACATAAGGTGTTATAATACTAATTTTTATTCCTAATACGTTTATGCATGTGTATCGTGTTTTCTGTAGTTATGTTCCAATAATATCTTTATTATGCTTATTATGTTGGGTATGTTCCGAGTCGTCTAGGACAAGATGTACGGAAAACTAAGAGCTATAATGCAATGACGTAGTATTATCCCGTCTTAAATCCAAGCAGGAAATAAGAGATGTATGTTTATAAGAGCTTGAGTTTTCTAGTTGCTGATATTAAGGGCTGAGGCTTATCAACCTCTATTGGAATCCTGAGTGGATTACCTCAGTAATGCCTTTAGCTAAAAGTTTTTAGTTTTACATACGTATAAATCAATACCCGTTGAACAAGTTAGTGGCTATCTTGACTCAGTGGATTACGCGCTAGGGTTTAAGTCGAAATTTGCAGGAGGCAAGTCTCAGTAAGAACATCAACTGTGGGATACAAGCACATCCAACTAATGAGTCCTATTTAGGGAGAAAGACGCGTTTTGGATTCCAGTACTACGAGATAGAAGTGCTTTAACGACCCATAGCATTACGAACACATTTAAAATGATAAGTTGCTAATTTTCAACTGTGGTGCTTCCTGTTATGAAATTATCTGAAGACAATTATCCCATTGTAAATCAATATGATTGGTTAGATACAAAGTAAACAGTAAGAACAAGGGAATTAGTATAAGGAGGGCAAAAACTCTCGATAAGTAGCGCCCAACGGATTATATATATATATATATATATATATATTAATGGATGTATTTAGTAACGTTCACTATATGTGGAGACTAAACATTATTACTTTTTTCTTATTAATTTACCACGTGCTACTTTTTCCGTATAATAATACCTGATACTGTCCTGTATTCTTTGTAGGCATATAACCGGTTTACACCTGCTTTTAATTTTTCGACATAGCAATAACTACAGTTCTAGTATGCAGAATAAGTTTATTAAACATAATTAAAAATAACTTCTAACCTAATGAGACATGCAAAGTAACTTTAATGATAATTGTATTTATTCCTAACTTATAAATTATCATCAATAGTTGAATTCATGAGTCGATCTAAGCTAAACCATCCATCTGGTCAGAAACCGTGACTATTGGAGTCCAATTCGTGTTGCATGGAGACAGTTATTCACTTCAGACAATAGATTAGGGGTCGCGCAAGATCATGGACTGATTGGAGTTACATATTAACATCGTTGGATGCCGACCCAGTGGTCTATGGTTGTGTTTGCGCACGATACCTAGGGTCCTTGGTTCGAGTCTCGCTTACGGGATTGTGGATACGCACTATTAAGGAGTCCCACACTAGGACGAAACGACCTTCCAGTGCGTCCAGGTTCTCAGTGGTGGTTTAGGATAAATTGACTCATGAATCCAACTGTTAAAGTTACTACAATCTCCACGAATGCCCACTCTTATAAATTATTCATTCATTTCCAGATTTCTGTCTAACAATATTCCATTCTTTGAGAGGCTTTCGAATTAAAATTAGCCTCTCACCTCCGTATTCTTGTGACATACTACTTCTAAAGTCAACCCATTTAGCTGTATTACATATATGTTGAACTAAAATTCAATTCATTAACGGTGCTTTAATTGTTGAAATTATTTGACTTCCAGCAACTGAGTCAAAGATTTAGTGGTGCCGTGATCTTTCTCAGATTTGATCGTACGGTCGAAAACTGTGTTGTTTACCGATTGCGTAGTCTATGTTGTGTTCGTTCGTCGAAAGTGTAGGGTGCGGAAGGTTCTTCATCGACGTAATTTGCTGCGTTAGGTTCGTCGTCGGGCTCTTCCCTTCTGTGTGGCCCTATGTCTGACTCCAATCGTCTGCTGATTTTTGTCGTAACATGCCGCCAACCCTCGTAAATAATGATAGACTTGAATCGCGTTAGTAAATAATGGAAGTAAATAAATCAGATACAAGAATGTATTTCGGATACATCTATTTCATACAATCGTTGATCCAAACAGACGATTAGAGAAACGAAGCCAAGAAACCAAAGATTAGAGCGAAGCGAAACGGATCGGAGAAGGCATTTAAGCCAAGCGTTAATCGACAAAATAAGTTACAGACATGTGATGAATAGGGTAAATAATACACACACATGATCATATAAAAACAGTCAGGAATAATAATGGGTAGATAAGTGGCAGGATAAAAATGTGGCTCGAGAAGAACGAAAAGGTCGGTCTGTCAAGAGGCTAGAATAAACTATGTGGGCTTGACACAGTTCCAGCCACTGCAAAGGCATGAACCCAATTTCGTTTGCTCCGCTTTGGATAGTCGGTGTTACAAGTTCTAATACCCAAGTGTAACTCGATGAAAGGTACAAGAATATGTGCCTAACTTACTTACACTTGTTACTCCTAATGGAGCATAGGCCGCCGACCAGCATTCTCCAACCCACTCTGTCCTGGGCCTTCTTTTCAAGTTCCATCCATTTCTCGTTCATTTTTCTGATGTCTATCTCTATTTACTGGCGTAATGTGTGCTTTCCCCTTCCTCTTCTCCTTTAGCCTTGAGGATTCTATGTGAGGGCTTGTCTTGTGACGCAATTGGGTGCTTTCCTCAATGTGTGTCCTTTCCACTTCCAGCGCTTCTTCCTGATTTCTTCCTCTACTGGGATCTGGTTTGTTCTCTCCCACAGTAGGTTGTTGCTAATAATGTCTGGCCAACGGATCCGAAGTATTTTGCGTAGACGACTGTTAATAAACACTTGTATCTTCTGGATGATGGCTTTCGTAGTTCTCCATGTTTCCGCCCCATACAGTAGAACTGTCATGACATTTGTATTGAGAATTCTGAGTTTGATGTTGGTTGACAGTTGTTTTGGGTTCCAGATGTTCTTCAGTTGTAAATATGCTGCTCTTGTTTTGCCGATTTGTGCCTTCACATCTGCATCATATCCACCGTGTTCATCAATGATGCTGCCCAAATATGAAGGTTTTTACATCTAAATCTTCTCCGTCAATAGTGATTGGATTCGTGCATGTTGTGTTGTATCGGAGAATCTTGCTTTTCCCTTTGTGTATATTGAGACCTATTGCTGCTGAAGCTGTTGCTACACTGGTCGTCTTCTCCTGCATTTGTTGTTGCGTGTACGATAGTAGAGTCAGATCACCTGTGAAGTCTAGATCGTCCAACTGCATCCTAGCTGTCCACTGTATCCCGGGCTTCCCTCAGATGTTGACGTCTTCATGATCCAATCGATCACCAGGAGAAAGAGGAAGGGTGAGAGTAAGCAACCTTGCCTGACACCGGTCTTTACTTCGAACGACTTTGTCAACTGTCCTCCATGAACGATTTTGCAGTTTAATCCATCGTAGGGATTCCGTATGATATTGACTATCTTTTGAGGCACGCCGTAGTGTCGAAGAAGCTTTCATAGTGTTGTTGTGTCCACGCTGTCAAATGCTTTTTCTTAATCAATGAAGATGATGTAGAGTGATGAGTTTCATTCAATTGAGTGTTCCACAATGATCTGAGAGTTGCGATTTGTTCTGTACACGATCCATCCTTAAAGAATCCTGCCTGTTGGTCTCAAAGTTGGGCGTCTACGGAGTCCTTCACCCTGTTTAACAACACCCTCTTGAAAACTTTTCCTGGTATTGAAAGAAGAGTGATGTGCCTGTAGTTGTCACAGTTGCTGAGATCGCCTTTCTTTGGTGTTTTGGCCAGAAGTCCTTGTTTCCAGTGTTTTGGAACTTGCTCCTCATCCCAAATCTTATTGAAGAGAACGTGGAGTATCCTTGCAGTTACCGCTACGTCTGCTTTCAGTGCCCCTGCTGGAATGCTGTCTGGTCATGCTGCTTTGCCACTCTTGATTTTTCTGATAGCCATACTGATTTCTTCAATTGTTGGTGGGCCAACATCGATCTGGAGGTCCATGAGTGCTACTTCGATGTTGGGTGGGTTCAGTGGGGCTGGTCTATTCAAGAGTTTTTGAAGTGTTCTACCCACCTGTTTCGTTGTCCTTCAATGTTGGTGATTATCTTGCCTTCCTTGCTTTTCACTGGTCGTTCTGGTTCACGGTGATTTCCAGAGAGCTTCTTTGTTGTGTTATACAGTTGTCTCATATTTCCTTCTCTGGCAGCCTTTTCCGCCGTCATTGCTAAATCTTCCACATATTTACGTTTGTCGGTCCGGTTGCTCCTCTTCATTTGCTTGTTTATTTCTGTGTATTCAGCCTGTGCCTTGGCCTTTTCTGCTCTTGTTCGGCTGGTATTGATTGCTGTCTTCTTGTTCCTCTTTTCTTGAATCTTATCCAGTGTATTAACAGTGATCCAATCCTTGTGATATTGCTTCTTGTGACCCAGAACCTCATGACATATTGAAGTGATTGCTTCTTTCATCCCTTTCCAGTTGCTCTCCACAGTAGTTCCCTTGCGACCAGCAAGTGATGATCTGATGCTATATCAGCTCCCCTCTTGTTTCTTACGTCCTCCTGAACCTTTTGTTGATGCAGATGTGGTCGATTTGGTTCTGTGTAGTACGATTCGGTGGAGTCCATGTGGTTTTGTGGATGCGTTTATGTGGGAATATGGTGCCGCCTATGACCATTTTATTGAAGGCACATAGGTTTGCAAATCTCTCACCATTTTCGTTCCTTTCTCCCAGTACGTGTCGTCTCGTGATGTCTTCATATCCGGTGTTGTCGATTCCAACCTTTGCATTCAAATCTCCCATCAGAATGGTCATATCCTTTGTCGGACACTTCTCGACGATTGACTGCAGCCTATTGTAGAATTGGTCTTTAACGTCTTCATTGTAGTCGTTGGTAAGCGGGTAGCATTGGATGACGTTCATTGTAATGCCCTCTTTCTTTATTTTGAGGGAGGCTTTGATGATCCCATCCCATAACTGCAGTTTGTGCTTGTTTGGACAGCATCAATGCAACTCCTTGTGTATATGGGGCGTTTTCTTCTTCATGTCCGGAGTATAACGGCAGCTCCCCTGAAGCTTGTCGTTGTTGTCCAACTTGCGTCCAATACGTTTCACTGATCCCAAGCATCTCCAGGTTGTATCTCCCCATTTCTGCAGCAATTTGGAAGACTCTCTCAGTCTCCCACATTGTG